GGGGCGGCGCGCGGAGCCGCTCGGGGCAGGGGCGCGCGTGGGCGCCAGGCCGCTGTCATTACCTGGCCAGCGTGGTTTTCCCCGAGCCCGGGAGGCCGCGCAGGAGGTAGAGGTGTTTCCTAAAGCTGTGGCGACGCGGAGGTGGCCCCCGCGCGGGCGGCGGCCGAGGAGGCGGCTGCTGCTGCTGCCGCTGGTGGAGGCTCAGCCTCCCGAACGATTCCAGAAAACTGTCCTCCATGGGGAGGGGGCTGGCGGCCAGGGCCCTGGGTTCCCTTCCTGAAGTCACGGTCTTGGCCAAAGCTGTTGTTTTTGTGACTCTCCGGCCATGTGATAGATGGAGGGGCGGGCGCTCGGAGCCCAGCCCCTCCTTCCCAGCCGCGCGAACCGCGGGAAGGGGGCGTCTCTACCTGCGAGGCCGGGGTGCAGGGAGACTGACAGCCAGGGAAGCGTGGGTGACGGGTGACGCAGCCCCCCAGCGCTCCCCTCCTGCCTCCCACTGTCTTCCGCTGTCCTTCCCGAGGGAAGGGGCCCCAGCCCGGGGACACAGTGGAAGGTTTCCCTGCAGCCACAGTGGAAGGCCAGCCTTCTGCTACAGCTCTGCCTCGTCTCACTTCAGACAGGCCTAGACCTTGAAAGTAAATAGTTTCCGTTGGCGATTAAAGACTGTGACAGGCACATCTGAGCTGTAACAGAAAAGGCCATTGTCTCCCCCTCGGTGTGCGCACCAGTATCTGGCTGGCGTCCCAAGGACTGGGGCACACTCCTCCAGGGTGCTGTATGCTCTCTTAGTACCTTTATCGGACTGTCAAAACTATCCTTAGAAAGCTTTCCGCAACTTGAAGTCTCTTCTTGCTCCTTAGGTCCCGGTGGACTTAGGAGGCTGCATAGATACCTCTCTGCTGCCACACAGCAGGGGAGACTGTCCTGGGACCGTTTGCACAAAATCAAGTTCAAGTTGCAGGAGCTGGCGGCACCCATTGGCAGGCACTGGTTGTGACTCTCCAGTATTCCCCTACAGAACCAAGAGGACGGTCCTGGTTTTCGGAAACGAAACAGAGTGTTCAAAACTTGCATCCTAGAAAATCCGAGATACTGGTGACTTTGGCTACAATTATTGTAAAATTAAACATTTTATGTTTGGCACTTAAGGTATGGACATTATGAAAAGGAAGCGTGGGGAAAGAAATGATGTCCTTCGGAGACTTAGAATCTAAAAGACCAGCGATGTCCTGACCAGCCTTAGGAAGGGGCTATTGGGGCAGGGAGGGGAGCCTGCCTGATGACAGCTCACTAGCTTTGGGCTTCCCCTGGGCTGGGGTGTGGGAGTGAAGCAGGGGGCTCCCCCTGGGAATTCCCCTCCCAGCGTGAAGCATGCTTCCTTGGTCCTACTGCAAGGGCGTCTGGGAATGTTGGGGGAAGAGTGAGGAAGAGGGAAGATACATTCATCATGGAATGATGACACCTCTAGTGTCTATACGTCCCTGACGGAGCTCACATGTGGGGACGTGAACCTGAGACCCCCCACCCCCCGCGAGCACACCCTCAGCACACATTTACAAACATGAGTTTGCTCAGCCTCAGGTACTGCTTTTCTCATTCACATTCTCCTCTGTCCATGGAGCACGTGGATAGTACAAACTGGCATCAAAACACACAGGGAGGGCTGAGGAGATGGCTCCGGGGTGCTTAGTGTGCAAGCGTGAGAGCGTGAGTTCAGTTCCCCAACCCCCGTGTAAAGAGGGGCAGGGCTGCACACGCTGCACCCCTGGTGTTGAGAGGCGTGGAGACAGGCGGTTCACAGAGCTCAGTCACCAAGCAGCCCAGCAGCTACAGCTTCGGTGAGAAACCCTGCCTTCCAGGGATAAGACAGAGAGCACAAGACCTCTGATGTCCCGCAGGCATGCACCTGCACACACACACACACACACACACACACACACACACACACACACACGGATGGGGAGATGGCTGGCTCAAGGGTTAAGCGCACTGGCTGCTCTTCCAGAGGACTGGATTTTGGCTCCTAGCACCCACATCAGGTGGCTCCCAAGCACCTTTAACACTACTTCCAGCAGATCTGTTGTGCAGGACTATCCTCTGTGCCAAACAGCCCCTATCTTGAGGTATTCAGCTGTTCCAGCTTGCAAAAATTCCAGCTGGTAGTGTTGACTGCTTACATCCCCAACAGAGGGGTGGGGAGAGTCATGAGACCCTCACCTGTGTATTTATCTCCCAACACCTGTTGTATGCCGCTCTGCCCTAACAACATGCACCCTTGGGGAAGGGCTGGAGGACACAGGCTCAGAAGAGAGGGGGCTCCATCTGTGTGGCTATGGGAAAGCCCTAATTGCTGCCGGGTGAAGACTTCCTGTGTGGCCTTTTAGGGAAGGTGCACTCACACCCAGCAGGTAACCACTCATCTGTTCTCTGTAAGAAAGTCCAATCAACTCACTGGGTCTCCAGAATGAACTTTGGTGGAGTCGTGCCCCAGTCTGTTGTTAGGATATTAAGAGGAGGAATAGATGTTGCTTATGCTGCCCCTAGGGAAGGAATTTTAGCAACAGGATCTAAGACCCTTCTAGCCTCTATGGGCACCTCAATATGTGTGGCATACGTACACTCAGACACACACACAAATGAGTTAAAAATACAAGCCAGGTGTGGTGGCGCATGCCTTTAATCCCAGCACTCAGGAGGTAGAGGCAGGTGGATCTCTGTGAGTTCGAGGCCAGCCTGGTCTACAGAGTGAGTTCTAGGACAGCTAGGGCTGTTACACAGAGAAACCCTGTCTCAAAAAACAAAACAAAACAAACAAACAAACAAGATGCAGAGAAAAACAAGACTCCAGGGTCTCACAGCACCATGGCATGCCCAGTGTGTGCACATTCCTGGGCACCACACCGCACTCTCTTGCGGTCACACACCTCCACAGAGGTAAGGGCTGCATTGCCCAGGTCGGTGGCACCTGATGTCTGCCACAGGCACAAGGACAGCTGGCGTGACTGCCCAAGTGTTAGGAAGATCCCCGTGGAGGGAGTGGTCCCAGCGCATTTTCCTAAAGCTTTCTGAAAAGGAGAAGGTGATAAATGCGGGCGGGCATAGCTGCAGCAGTGTGGACCCCAGCTGAAGGCTGTGGCCAGAGAGCTGGAAGCATCATTAAACCATGAAGACAGTCCAAAGTGGTGGTGGCTCACACCAGGCCCACTCTTAAAGATTTCCAATGTTATCTTCAGGCACAGCCACAGTGGAGCAGCTTCTAACGCGTTCGCTAGAAAGCCGCAACTGTTTTGCTGTTTAAGGCACCAAAGAAAGAATTTTCCAGATGCCCGTCTCCTCCCTGGCTGGCTGTCTACCCCTCCTCCTAACTCGGCCTCCACCTGGCTCTCCCCACATGCCTCTTCTAGATGACTCTGGGAAGCTGTCGGAGGCAGGGGAGGTTAGGGGACCACAGGGCCAGTTTAAATTGAATTAGGCACATTTAGTCCTAGCTGGCTGGGAGGCTGAGCCAGGAGCACTGGAAGTTCGAAGACTGCCTGGAGAACTTAATGAAACCCTGTCTCCAAACAAGACTTCGGGAAGGGAGCAAGGACAGGCAGGAGAGTCCGTCAGCCCCTGAGCGTGAGGCAGGTCTCTGCTGCCAGAGTCCTGCGCCCTGGCCAGGTAGGGCTCTGGGAACGACCTTTGGTTTTCTTGGCCTTGTGGGACTTCAGAGTACAAAAAGACACCACCAACTCAGGCTCCTCTCTAGACCTTCAGTTTAGTAACAAAAACTCAAAGCTGCACAAGGCGACCGCAGAGGAGGCCCGGGCTACTCAGAAGAGTGATCAATGCCCACTAGAGATGGCAGGTTGAAGGCCAGCTTCCACTTCCGCCCTTCCTTGACGCCTCATTGAAGTGCAAAGGAGGCCGCTTCGGGGTTCCTCTGGAGGCCCTGGGTGTCCTGTTATCTCTTTAACCAGAAGCTGGGGAGGGGTCATAACAACAGGATTCCAGAAACTAGACAGCAAGAGGTCAAATGCTGATTGATTTGATCAAAAGTGTCCCAAGTTAGAGAGAGCCAAAAAGCACAATTCATCCAACAGAACCCATCTGTCCAGGCCCTGGCAGGCGTGGGGGCTGTGGGTGGAGCTTAGATTGGAGGTGAGTTCAGAGTCCAGTTAAGAACAGGGCTGAGGGCTGGAGGTGTGGCTGTGCAGAGAAGGCCCTGAGTTCACCCCACCTCTCCCAGCAATACACACACACACACACACACACACACACACACACACACACACACGCCCATTCCTTGGAGAAGGTCAGATGGGGGGGGGGCTGCAAAGGAAGGGCTTTTTTGTTTGGTTTGGTTTGGTTTTTTGAGACAGGGTTTCGCTGTGTAGTTTTGCGCCTTTCCTGGAACTCACTCTGTAGCCCAGGTTGGCCTCGAACTCACAGAGATCCACCTGCCTCTGCCTCCGAGTGCTGGGATTAAAGGTGTGGGCGGCCGCCGCCAGCAGGAAGGCCTTTTCTGAAGGCAGTGGGATTAAGCAAACGTCTGCATGCTGAACAGTGAGGAAGTGGACACTCACATTTCTTCAAAAAATATTTTTCCTGTTTTAAGTACAACTATATTAAAACAGAATAAAACACCAATAACAACCTCTGGTTATATTAAAGGCCCTATGATCTCTAAGCAAATGCCTGGAGGTCAGATAGTCTGAGAACTCATAAAATGTTGAAATAATAGAGTACAGGAACAAATATCACTTTGTACTCTGAGTGGAGGAGGGGCGTGGCAATGAAAACACACTAGTTCTGCAGTGAGATGCACAAGTACTTAAGGACGACATGCCAAGTGAGTAAGTATTAATTCTATTGTCACACTTAATTCAAAGACCGGAAGCGGATGCCGGGTGAAGGCCAGGGTGAGCAGCTGGGGTTGGATGGCCCCACAGCGGGGCCTCACGGACTGAAGGCAGTCCTGGAGGTGGTGGTCGGGACAGTGGGTGTGCAAAGAATAAACTAAAACACACTTGCGAATGGCGACGGTGGGGCTGTGGAGAAGGCTCGGAGGTTTAGAGCACCTTCTGCTCTCGAGCAGGGCCTGGGTTCGGTTCCCAGTATCTACCCTGCGGCTCACAACAGTCTGTAACTCCAGTTCAAGGGATCTGATGCCTCTTCAGGCTCCCACAGGCTCCTTTATGCACTTACATACACTCATGCACACACACATAAAATAAATAAATATTTTTAAAAGAATGGCTAAGGTAATCAGTTTATTGCATATTTCACCATTTTTAAAGATTGGATAACCAAAATGACATTTGGATTTTAGAGCCTTTTGGGATTTCAGAATTCTAGGGTTGTGGCCACAGCCCAGTGCTTGCACAGGCTACCATCCTGATCTTGGAGTAACTCGAGGGTTTTCTGTGCCTCATTCTCCTCTGCCAAGTGAGGCTGTGACAGAACTCTTGGCATCAGGCAGTGTTCCAACTGTTACTGCTTGCCCTTTTTTTTTTTTTTTTTATTGACACAACTTATCAAGAGCAACACCTGGGGCGATTATCCACGCCAGTGCTGGGGTCCAGTAGGCACTCGCTGCAAGGACCTCTGAGGGTCAGCACTGGGTACCTGGCTGTCCTCACTGATGAGGATTGTCAGCAGCAGCAGGCAGGAAGCAGAGATCTCCGCTGCAGGAAGGAGTCTGTCCCCAGGTCCTCTTTGCTTCCCTGGTCACTCTTCTAGCATCTAGGACCCCCACTGTTCCTTCAGTCCCCTCTGCCTGCTTCTGCCCATCCCATCTCCCTCCTGTTTTCACTCCCTGGGGTACAACACTTCACAGTTCAAAAGTTATTAATGAGCATTACAAGGATTTATGTCAATTTGTAAGCAAGTTTCCCAGCTCAATAGTTTCCTCTCCCAGGATCACATGAGGTCTGTTTTGCCAGAGGGCTTTGCTCAGGGAGGTGTTGAGAGAAGGCAGGTGAACCCGTGGTAAGAGCCCAGTGCTTTTCAGGCACTGTTCTAAGTACTTTACACACATTGCTTCATTTAATCCCCATTTAAAATCTCCACTAGAAAGTGACTGTCAACTTACTTTTACACCTAAAACAATTGAGGATGATTTTTTTTTTTTTTTCCGGGTCACACAGCAGCTCGAGGACAGGCACATGGGAACACATCCTTGGCCTACCTCAGCCTCCACAGTGGACAGGCACATGGGAACACATCCTCGGCCTACCTCAGCCTCTACAGTGGACAGGCACACGGGAACACATCCTCGGCCTACCTCAGCCTCTACAGAGGACTGGCTATCGACACAGGCAACCAGCGCAGACTGCTGTGAAGAAGGCAGAGAGAGCCGTGGGACCTGTACGGCCCAGCGGGTCCCCTCCTACCTGCCTCTTCCGACATTTCTATCTGCCCTTTGAAACCTATTCGTCAGCACTTTCTGACAAACCAAAAGGGCAGGCAACCACATGGTGGCTCACAACCAGCTGTAATGAGATCTGGTGCCCTCTTCTGGCCTGCAGGGATAAGTGCAGACAGAACACTGTATACATAATAAATAATCTTTAAAAAAATTTTTTTAAAAAAAAAGAAAAGAAAAAGAATTGGAACCAGGCTGTTGGTGGGAAGGCCAGAGCCATGAAGAGCGCTGGGCAGGGGCGGTGACTTTAAAACGGAAAGTGCATACAGAGCATGTCCTCGACTCAGCCAGGCTCGCTGCACGTTACCTGCACAGGACCTCCTGGTCCACGCTAGGACCACCTCACGTAGCGGAAGGAGAACATCCCCAACTGTGCCCTGTCATAGCACAGGAGGGCTGGGGGGGGGGGTGTCTCACTGCTGTCCTCTCGATATGCGGACCCGTGTCTAATGCAGGCAACGCAGTCCACTGGGGAACAACACGGAGGTCTGACCCCTTCTCGGGTCCTCACAGTCTGTTAGCACTCCGCTCCTACGATAGGTCTCTCCAGCTCTCTCAACTCCTCCTGAGCAGCCACTGCTGTCTTCCAGGCGAAAAGGAAACTGAGCACACGTGTTTCTCACTGAGATCACACAGATTGCCCGTAGAAATGCATTACTGAAGGGAGAAGCCGTGCCAAACACACGTGCGTCCCATTCTTATCAGACCCAGACACGCACACACTGACAGTCCCAGCAGACGTATTTACTTCATAACGTCGATTCCGGGGAGAGCGAGCGCCACATGCTTGTTTCAATGTCACTCTCGATGTCAAGTACAGCGTATGACACGAGGGTCTATCCGTGCCATCTCTTTCCTTAGAGCATCCGCTAATGTACAATATTTACGCATAACCTACAGCCCTAACTCCTGGCTCTGCTCACATACCAGTGGCGTGTGTGTGGGATCTCACACACTGTCAACAGCATGCTCAGAGATGCAGTCTAACTAATGAAATGGGGAATAAATCTTGGGAGCAACAATCCAAGCTTTGTTGTCGTTCACACAAAGATGTGCGATTGAGGAGAAGCATTGAACACGCAAGAGCACAGACAGGGTTGCTATGGTAACAACTCTTCAACTGCAGTGCCTCTGCGCTATTACAACCAGGCGATGTCAACACTCATTTCCTTCTGACCATATTGAGGTCTCTGCAACGAGAAGTACTTACAGCTCACAGGATTCTCATTTTTACCAAGATTCTTCTGCCGCCTTTTCTAGAAATGATAATTGAGACACATGAAAGGATTCATTCTCCTGTGCAGACAGTCCTCAAATGTCGAAAGAAACATTACAAGCACACGTCAGTCCGAACACGTTCGGCACTGCTCTCTGTGTGGGCATGAATGACAATATGGCCTCCCCCAGGACTAAGGAGAGAAATAAGTTTGTACCAGATGTGCTTGTAAGAAATACCTGCTACCCTTAAGCAACAGCTCCACGTTTTATCTTTAAACTTAAATTTTACTACTAATTCCAAAATGTGCCCTGGAGTGCCTCCAGCTTCACTTACATCACCATTAATTAATAATAATAATTTAAAAGAAAAAGCCAGGCGGTAGTGGTGCACACCTTTAATCCCAGCACTCAGGAGGGAGAGGCAGGAGGATCTCTGTGAGTTCGAGGCCAGCTTGAGCTACAGAGAGCAAGATCCAGGACAGCCAGGGCTACACAGAGAAAGCCGGTCTCGAAAAACAAAAGCAACAAGGACCTGAACAAAGGAAACGGCTGTGTACTACTCTTCCGGTCTCCTGAGTAACAGTCCACGCCGGTCCTCCACCAGCTCCCTGCAGAAGATGCGCAGCCCTCAGGAACAGTGAGGCTCCCACTGTGGACCAAAGGAGGACACCAGCGATGGACGGACGAGATGCTTTCAGGTCAAGCAAACAGGAGTCTGACCCAGTTGAGGGCTGGACACAAACATGTGCAGTGAACGACTCTCCTCAAGGGCCACCTCAGAGTGCACGGCCTTCAATACACCTAGAGAATCAAATGCAAGCTTCTCTCAGGACTAGCTGAAATAAAATGTGCATGTACAGACAGATTCTTTTTATCATTTTTTTCTTTTTTTGGTTTTTCAAGACAGGGTTTCTCTGTGTATCTCTGGCTGTCCTGGAACTCACTCTAGACCAGGTGGCCTCAGACTCACAGAGACCCACCTGCCTCTGCTCCCAGAGAGCTGGGATTGAAGGCATGCACCACCACCATCCTGCTTTTTTTTTTTTTTTTCTAATTTTCATGAAAACAATCCCCCCAATTTTATTTTACAGGAATGTTATCTAGGTCAGGAGAGCTGGCTCAGCAGTTATCTTGCTCTTGCAGAGCACCTGAGTTTGGCTCTCAGCACCCACTCAGTGTGTACCAGGCATACACACGGTGCACAGACACACATGCAGACAAAACACTCCTACATATCAACTCAATAAACAACAACAAAAACATGCGTATGTATATTACATCTATGCCTGGTATCCATGGAGGCCAGAAGAGGGCATCAGACGCCTTGGACCTGGAGTAGTAGATGGTTGTGAGTCATCATGTGGGTGCTGGGAACCAAACCTGGGTCCACGGCAAGAGCAGCCAGTGCTTTTAACTGCTGTGCCACCTCTCCAGCAGGGGACTCAGACATTTACAAGGACTCGCGCAAGGGGTGGCAGCTTGCTAAGTTCACCATGGGTCACTTTCACTGCTGCGGTGATTCATAAGATCAACATGACGTCACTACCACAGGAGAGGCCCCATGACCGAAAGTATTTGCATATGTTAAACTAGACTTTTGGTTCTTTGTTTGTTTTTGTCTTTTCCAGACAGGATTTCTCCGTATAACAACCCTGGCTTTCTTGGAACTCTCTTTGTAGACCAGGCTGGCCTCGAACTCAGAAATCTGCCTGCTTCTGCCTCCCGAGTGCTGGGATTAAAGGTTTGCATGACCCTGCCGGGTTTGGACTTGTATTTTTCATAAATAAACCGGTTTACCTATTGGGACTCCGCGAGATCCACACCGTTGGGACGGGCGGAAGGCAAGCATCTCTGTGATAACGGCCCCCGGCTCCGACGGGTCCTGCTTATTAAGTCCTGGCAGTCTTCAGCTGCTGAGCAGTCCCCCGGCTCCCAGGCTCCCCATGTCTTCAGCTCTTCATCCAGCCTCTCGGAGAAAATCCGCGAAAAGCAATGAGGAGCAGGCTGGCCACTCAGATCGTCTGAGGGAATAAAGCCTCCATCGGTGAGTGTCCTAGCCAGGCCTTTCTGAGACTCGAGTGTCAAAAGTGCTCTTCTGTCGTTAAAAGATAGCACGCAAAAGCTAGATAGATAATGTAGCAAGAGAGAAGGGACAGGGTTTTTATAAAAATACACAGCACACCCTACTCTGTTAAATGGCAGACGGTAAGAGCGAGACTGGCGGACAATACTTGGAGGAGAGTCAAGGTAAAACCGTGGCAGACGACAGTCAAAGACCATCATTTTTGGCTTTGTCTCATCTTTATTGATTATTTTGGAAATATCTTCCCCTGATAAGAAAGTGTTCAGCTCATGATTTTCTGTTAAGAGGTCACATTTCTCCTTTGTTTCTGGGTTGATAGGAGTCTGTTTGTTCGGTGACAAATCGCAAATCCGCTGCACCCCTTGTATACCCTTTGCTGGTTCTAAGGGGTGCTCTGGGGAGTCGAGATGGGGGGCACAGGTGCTGGAGACAGCTGTTTCTGGGTTTCTGGGTAAATCCACCACCCCAGCTTTGGGGGACAAATCTCTCGGCTGCTTCTTCATTGGTGTTTCTGGGCCGCTTCCCGAGCCCGCTGCTCCTTCAGGAGCGGAAATCAGCTTAATGCACTGTTCCTCGCTATCAGGACGGGTCAGTCTCCGAGATCTGTCTTTCTTGGGTCTCTGCTCACACACAAACTCATGGGGTCCCTGGGGCCAACCACCCACATATGGCTGACTCTCAGACTTTATCTCCAATTCTTCATCAAACAAACTAACTGTAAAAAAAGCCCAGCGATCGCTTCTAACTCCGTGTTCCTCTCGTAATATTTCCTCCGACATTCTGGCTCCACTCTGACGACGACGTGGAGCAAACTCATCAGGGCAACTCTGACCTGCCGTTTCTGTCTTCTGTGCAAACGAACGTGGAGTTTTAGCAACTGTGTCCTGCTTGTCTGCGGCTGAGTTACGTCCACTTCTCACCTGGCTTCCCGCCCTCCTGTCTGAGCAGCCATCCTTCACTACACAAGGACGATGCTGAGTGCTCGTGTCCCAGCAGGCAGACCCTTCACTTGGTACCGAAGGCAAAGTTAGAAACAGGCCCTCCCCCTCCGCCTCCTCTTCCTCCTCCTCGGGGAAGCAGCTCTTCGGTGTGTGGTCCACCTCAACTGCAGACACGACATTTTGGAAACTGGTTGAGTTCTCCCTGTCTTTGCAGCTTTGCTCTTCAGAGCCATCTACACAATCCGCTGCTTCATTCTGTAGGCCGCCAGCAAAGGGATGCCCTGGTTCTCGCTTGGTCTCTTCAAAACCTTCCCCCTGGCTTTGAGACGGGCCCTGACCTAAGGCTGCAGGGGAGTTCTCACGGAAACTGTTGTTCCTTTTCTTTCCTCTTCTGTTTCTCTTCTGTTTGGGTCTGTCAAACCGGTACCCACTCTTCTTCAAAAGTCTCCCTCTGAAATATAAAGAACAAGCAAAGTGCATGACTTAGTTTATGTACTATTAGCAGACTTTAAAATCTCACTGTGCAAAACTCAGTAGTCCAAGAGTGCCTGTGTACTTTTTACTGTATTTACATCCACTTTTTTTTCCTGGTTCACATGTGATTGAGTTTATTGTAGAGAAAGGTAACAGAAATTGTTGTTGGATAAAGAAGAGTTGGACATAGAATGAATGGGGGCCTTCTATCCACAGGCTTAGCAACCCAGCCATGGATCTGCCCCGTTCTTTTGTATCTAATCTTCCCAGGCATTTCCATGTTGTAGATCCCTGGGCATGTTTCACAGCTCTCCTGCTGGTGGGGGAGGCAAGGCTTCTTACAGTAGCATCATCGCTTTATGACTTCAGTCTGCCCACCGGTGGTGAGGATTCTGCTCAGGATCCTGTATGCACCGTCTGTGTTCTCCTTCTGAACCATCACAGTCCTGACAATGAACTTCAGAAGTTTAGCTGTGGCCTTGTATTCAAACCTTCATCCTCAGGATCTACAGATTTCAGCCTCAGCACTCCTTACAATGACTTTTAATGAGATCTTAAATCCACTCCTCTAAATATCAGTACACACTGAGGAAACTAAAACCCACATGCACACACTCATCTCGTAAACCAACAACTTCATGAAAACCTAGTATTTATATTGAAGAAAATGTTCCATGTGTACAGAAAAATATCATATTTTGTGATGCTTTACATCTTAAAGGAATTAATGCACTTATTATAATCCTGTTTAGAACCTCAACAACAGTTTTCTTAGAATGAAACAGATTTTATAATACTTTAGATTTGAAAGATAAGAAATGGCTAGAGTCGGGTGGCAGTAGCACACGCCTTTAATCCCAGTACTTGGGAGGAAGAGCCTGGCGGATCTCTGTGAGTTCGAGGCCAGACTGGTCTACAGAGTGAGTTCCAGGACAGGCTCCAAAACTACACAAAGAAACTTTGTCTCAAAAAAAAAAAATTACTGGAATAGCCTCAGTATGGCAGATTTTGTAGTGATTTTAATGACTGGGTGACTTAGACAATGGGGTTGACAATTAAGTTGTCCCATCACATTATATGTAGTACTTACTAATGAACACTCTGAGTCCAGGATTTGGTGATGTATTTGGACTTGTCTGGCAAGCGGCGACCCTAAGCCAGAGGCGATGCCACTACTATGTGAGGTGCTAGAAATGTGTGAAGGCATTTTTGGTGGTCATAGTGACTGGCAATTTGTGTTATCACATATGGCATTGAAGCCAGTATGCTAACCATTCTATGATGCACAGTGACAAGATATCACTCCCAAGAGAGAAACAGAATTCTCATCACTCACACTAGAAGTGAAGAGGTCAGGCAGGACTCCTGGGAAGAGAGAGAGAAGAGATGGATCTAGATGCAGGAGATATGCCAGAGGACACAGGAAAGGGAACAGGAGGTGGAAGATGGGAGAGAGGTAAAAAGCCACCAGGCAAAACGTAGATTAATAGAAGTGGGTTAATTTAATTATAAGAGCTACGGGACAAGCCTAAGCTATATGCCGAGCTTTCGTAATTAATAATAAGTCTTCATGTCACTTTTTTGTGAGCTGGTGGCCCAAAGACAAATCTGTTTACACATAGCTCTGCCATAAGTGAAGACAATACTTGATACTGGGCATGTCCAACCTGTGGCCCATGAGCTGCAGGCATCTCAGAATAGTTATGAATGGAGCCCAACACAAAACTGTAAACTTCTGAAGAATGGATTAAGAAAATGTGGTACATATACACAATGGAGTACTACTTAGCAGAGAAAAACAATGACAGCATGAAATTTGCAGGCAAATGGATGGAACTAGAAAATATTATCCTGAGTGAGGTAACCCAAACCCAGAAGGGCAAACATGGTATGCACTCACTCATAAGTGGATACTAGATATAAAGAAAAGAAAAATCGGCCGGGCGTTGGTGGCGCACGCCTTTAATCCCAGCACTCGGGAGGCAGAGGCAGGCGGATCTTTGTGAGTTCGAGGCCAGCCTGGGCTACCAAGTGAGTTCCAGGAAAGGCGCAAAGCTACACAGAGAAACCCTGTCTCGAAAAACCAAAAAAAAAAAAAAAAAAAAAAAAAAGAAAAGAAAAATCAGACTGCAACACACAGAACCAGGGAGGCTATATAGCAGGGGGGACCCTAGGATGACTGTGGCTTATAATAAGTTTTGGTTAATATACTCAATTACTGGGCAAGCCTCAATGAAACATTTCACTATTAGGATAAGAATTTGTACTGTATCAAGCTGATAATAGAAAAAAAATAATATAATTAAAAAAACTGTAAACTTCCTCAAACCATTGTGAGATTTTTGAGTGTGTGATTTTATTTTCTGTAACTCAACTGCACAGTTCTCAACGATAAACTTTATAGATGACATCATGTCTCATGTCCGAAGGGTGACACTCCTGAAAGCTGATGCTAAGGACAGTATTTGGTCCTTTTTTGATGATTTAGTGAACTTTCTAAGTTTTCCCATAAAGGCTAGTTTCCCCCTGCCACAGTGAGTGGTTAGAGTCAGAGACAAGGCACCAATGAGTGCACAGAAAACCCACTAGAAGGAGAACAACAGAAATGGGTGATGGGACTGAAGAGACGGCTCACTGGTTAAGGGCATTGCTCTCAGAGGGTCCAGGTTTGGTTCCCAGCACCCACATGGTGGCTCACAACCGGCTGTATCTCGTTTCAGGGGATCAAATGCCCTCTTCTGGCCTCTGAAGGCAGCAGGCATACATGTAATACATATATTGGATGCAGGCAACACACATATACATGAAAAAATTAATTAAAGCCAGGTGGTGGTAGCGCATCCCTTTAATCCCAGCACTCGGGAGGCAGAGCCAGGCGAATCTCTGAGTTCGAGGCCAGCCTGGTCTATAGAGCGAGTTCCAGGACAGGCACCAAAACTACACAGAGAAACACTGTCTCAAAAAAACCAAAACCAAACAAACCAAAAAAAAAGAAATATCACCACCATGGTAACTTTTTTTTCCCCAAAGACATGGTTTCTCTGTATAACAGCTCTGGCTGTCCTGGAACTTGCTTTGTAGACTAGGCTGGCCCCAAACTCACTGAAATCCACCTGCCTCTGCCTCCCAAGTGCTGAGATTAAAGGTGTGTGTCACCATGCCGGGCCACAGCAACTCTTAGAAAGGGAAACATTTAATTGAGGAGACTTATAGTTCAGAGGTTTGCATGGTGGTGTGCAGGCAGACATGGTGCTGGAAAAGTAGCCCAGTAGCCTACATCTTTGGCTTGCAGGCAACAGGAAGTGGTCTCTGTGTCACACTGAGGGAAGCTTGAGAAAAAGAGACCTCAAAGCCTGCCCCCACAGTGACACACTTCCTCCAGCAAGGCCACACTTGCTCCTACAAAGCCACACCTCCTAATAGTGCCACTCCCTATGAGATTATGGGGCCAATTACATTCAAACTATCACAGCCTCCATAAGATTGGGCTGTAGGCAAGCATTCAGGGTATTGTCTTTTCTTTCTTCTCTCTCTCTCTCTCTCTCTCTCTCTCTCTCTCTCTCTCTCTCTCTCTCTCTCTCTCTCT